GCTTCCTTTCTTTTTCTAGCTTCCTTTCTTTTTCCAGCTTCCTTTCTTTTTCCAGCTTCCTTTCTTTTTCCAGCTTCCTTTCTTTTTCCAGCTATCTTTCTTTTTCCAGCTTCCTTTTTATCTAGCTTCTCTTCTTTTTCCAGTTTCCTTTCTTTTTCTAGCTTCCTTTCTTTTTCTAGCTTCCTTTCTTTTTCTAGCTTCCTTTCTTTTTCTAGCTTCCTTTCTTTTTCTAGCTTCCTTTCTTTTGCTAGCTTCCTTTCTTTTTCTACCTTCCTTTCTTATTTTGGCTTCCTTTCTTTTTCTAGCTTCCTTTCTTTTTCCAGCTTTCTTTCTTTTTTCCAGCTTTCTTTCTTTTTCCAGCTTTCTTTCTTTTTCCAGCTTCCTTCTTTTTATAGCTTCTTTTCTTTTTCCAGCTTCCTTTCTTTTTCCAGCTTCTTTTATTTTTCCAGCTTCCTTACTTTTTCCAGCTTCCTTTCTTTTTCCAGCTTCCTTTCTTTTTCCAGCTTCCTTTCTTTTTCCAACTTCCTTTCTTTTTCCAGCTTCCCTTCTTTTCCAGTTTCCTTTCTTTTTTTCCAGCTTCCTTTCTTTTTCCAGCTTCCTTTCTTTTTCCAGCTTCTTTACTTTTTCCAGCTTCCTTTCTTTTTCTAGCTTCCTTACTTTTTCCAGCTTCTTTTCTTTTTATCTTTCTTTATTTTTTAGGTTTTTTATTATACTAACTTTCTTTTTTTGTATCTTTCTTTCCTTTTCCAAGTTTTATTCTTTTTTGCTACATTCCTTCTTTTTTTTTCTTTGTAAACCGCTTATTCTAATTTTGTTCTAATTTTTTTCTAATTTTGTTCTAATTTTGTTCATATTCTGATTCCTTGTTTTACGTTAAAGTTCCAGTGAACCCATTTCATTACTTACTTTAAAATATTACTTTTTGTCCAATAACTTTAAACATAAATATTATTATTGTTATTTACTAATTTTGTTGAAAATAAAGATTTGATTTATTATATTTATTCACGTAGGGTTTTCAAAAGTTTTCTTTCTTATTTTTCAAACTTTGTCGCGAAAAATGAATTTTTCGAAAAGAAGCAAAAACGATTCGGAATTTCGTAAAATTTGTTTTTCTTAGAACGGAATGCGAAAAAATGTGAAATTTTGAATAGCTATCGATGTATAAAGAGAATTCACAATTGAAAATAATTAATTTTTCCGAGAGAGATAATAGATTACGTCTTCTCAACTAAATTTAGGAATGTCAATTACTTTTTCACATTGTGATGAATTTAGGATTGCAATTCAATTAAATTTTAGAATTGCGCCCCCCTTACAAACCTAGTTTTGATGCATCCTAAACAGGGGCGTACGAGGGGGGGGCCGCGCCCCCCCGCCCCCCTCTACGCGTGCCCCCCCTGAGAGGCTGAGGGGGGGCACCCATGGGGAAGGCTATTTTAATATTACATCTGCTTGCATTTCCCTTCCTTAGGCCAGACACAGTGGCGTACCTAGGGGGGTAGTAGTCCTCTTGCCCCCCCTGAGAGTTCCAGGCGGGGTCCTGCCCCCCCTGGAAAATACAAAATTAAAAGGAAACTATGCTTACGCGCGCACATTATGCCCCCCCCTAAACAAAAGCCCTCGTACGCCCCTGATCCTAAATTCAACAAAAAGTCGGTTGCAGAATATCACTAAAATTTATCAAATGAAATTAACAATTAACTTTAACATGCGTTGAAGAGTTTTGCCGATATCTCCTAAAAAGAACATTTATTTAGATTTTTATGGTTATAACTGATTATTTTACGATTAATTGTTTAACTTTTAAAAAGATTCGGAAAAAACATGTAATTTCTATTTGTTAAAAGTTTATAATTTTTAGAAAGGAAAGTGAATAAATTTTAAGAATTGAAAAATTAAAAACTAAAAAAAAATTTAGAAGAAAAAAAATTAAAAAATAAAGAAATTAAAGAAACCCGATAAATCATTAAGAAAAATTGGGTTTTTATATGTGTACCAGTATTATATTTTCTACAAAATGTTAGAAATTAAAGATGTCAGTTATTTGATATTATATTACGAACTAAATGATTTTCTTTCTTTTTCTAACATCGTAGATACTGGACATAAATAGAGGATAAGTGGTACAATAATTAAGTCTTGATGTGCTTGGATATGTACAGAAGTAGAGATGGGCATTGTTTCTGTGAAAGAACTAAATTTTTGATTAACAATGGTGTCTTTCAGAAATAAACGAAAGATGGACGAAAGACTTGGATCGTCCTGAGAAATTACAAAAATGATGTTCTTAAAAAACGAAGGATTTTAAATCGTTTAAATGAACGATTTCTATATAATTTGTTCAAACTAACTTAAAAAATGATCTTTTTTTAAAGAAACAAAAAAATTTTTGTTAAAAAACATTTTAAAAAATAGCGATATCAGATACACCTATATGTTTTCCTGCGGTAGAAATGCGCAATTGTCACTTTTGTAGAGAAATTACAATTGAAAATAATCAGTTTTTATACAGTGAAACCCTTAATAACGAATACATCGGAAGAATTTATCAAATGTCGTCTTGACAACTTTCAATGAGTTTTATATTACGTAAATTTCAATATTTGCGAAAATAAATAAATAGCCATGAATATATGGAAATAGTTTTAAAGAGCTCCATATTATCATTTAATTAAAAAAAAACTAAATATCTGCAACATTCCATTATTAGAAAGTGAAGAATACGACATTTGATGAATTCTTTCGATGTATTCGTTATTAAGGGTTCCACATGTATCTAATCCAAACTTGACTAGACAAACCTTAAAAGGTTCAGTTGTCAATCGGACATTATCATCTGATAGTACGCTTACGGTCCCTGTTTACCAGTAAAAAAAGGGATGCACTGTACGAACTACGTGTTATATAAGATATAGAGAGTTTTACTTTAAAGATGACAACTGAGAGATCTTTAACAGATACAGGGTTACGTGCAAAGGATGAGACATGTAAAGACGACCCATTCTGCATTTAATAGAGAATTTATATGGGTTACTATCTGATTAAGCATAGTAAACCAGTTTTGGCCGAGAAAGAGCCCTGAATGTGTAAGAAAACGGACCTATACATATTCCGTACAATCGTATCTGAAGAATCGTCTCGTTCATTGTCTAGGTAACCTTCTGTATCTAATGACAAATCTGACAAATGGAGCAAAATAGTAACTGACTTACAGTGTTCCACATGAAAAAAAGTACAAAAGACTACATTTATGATTTATTCTGCCCGATATTTGAATAATCTTTTATTCTTTCCCCTTGAGACTCTTTATTTATTATTTTATTCCAATTGCTTGTTTATTATTGACTTAATTTAACGGTATTTCGAAAGAATTATTTGACATGTTTAAAAAGACGACATCAGAAATTAAAAATATTTTCAGGGAAATGCAATGATTTCTATTTTTTGATCAATTTTTAAATAGATTGGATTTGATTGAATATATATTTTTTTCTATATTGTTTAATCATCAGTTAAAATTTTAGAAACATTAAGTGGCTTTCCCCCTGTTCTAGAAATTTCAGATGCTTACCGTTCAGGGCTGTTAAAAAAAACTATATTAAAATTAATTTTTTGAGTTAATGAAACATTTTATTGATCAAAAAAGGTTGATATTTATTTTAAAAATTATGTGAGAAATATTACCCCTGTTCGACCTGCGCCTGCGCAAATAACGGACATTTAAATTCAAACCGCGCATTTTCCTGTTTCATTCTTGAATGTTTTACTACAATATGAATCCTTCACATGTTAACGGTTTTCAGGATTTGTAAACACTAAACAAACATTTTTATTATTATAAATATATTATTTGTTTATTTCAAAAGCTAATTATTAGTTTTACTAAAATACTAAGAAATCCTGAGATAAACTTTCCTGTTAGTGTTAGTTAAATCTGACCTGGAAGTAATAATCGCCATTTTAAATCTCCATAATACCACAATTTTGTAATTTACAAAATTCTTAGTCTTGTTTTTTAATAATTTTGTGATGTCTATTGTCTAGGTAAAAATATGACCGGCGGCGGGAAGAGGAAAGCAGGAGAAGACGCAGAAAATATGGCGATCAGTAAACGAGCCGCACTCGGAGAAATTACNAAGAATTACATTTGATTTAAAATTATTATTGTCTTGCAGATTTTGTATACAGTTTTACACAGAACTTCAGAGACTCTGAAAGAAATAATAAAATGTCATTTTCTAAACCTACTGATAAGGGAATGCTGCAGATACTTAGTTTTTTAGTTAAATAGTTACATGGAGCTCTTATAAACTGTTTCCGAATATTTTATAGCTATTTCTTTTACAAATACCGAGATTTAGGTATATTAGTCTAAACCCCATTGAAAAAATGTCAGTTCTGGGTTGAATTGTATAAAGGTCGAAATTAATAAATATTGAGAAGTAGTTGAACTAGAAATGGATAGAGTTGCCAATGGTGCCGATAGCAGTAGCCGAGCTTGCCATACGTAATTCATCTACTTGTTGCTGTTTATTTCATCTACTTGTTGCTGTTTATTTCATAATTCATTTACTTGTTGCTGTTTATTTTATAATTCATCTACTTGTTGCTGTTTATTTTATAATTCATCTACTTGTTGCTGTTTTTATAATTCATCTACTTGTTGCTGTTTATTTTATAATTCATCTACTTGTTGCTGTTTATTTTATAATTCATCTACTTGTTGTTGTTTATTTTATAATTCATCTACTTGTTGCTGTTTATTTTATAATTCATCTACTTGTTGTTTATTTCATAATTCATCTACTTGTTGCTGTTTATTTCATAATTCATCTACTTGTTGCTGTTTATTTCATATTTCATCTACTTGTTGCTGTTTATTTCATATTTCATCTACTTGTTGCTGTTTATTTTATAATTTAATCATACTAACACTTCAACTTTTAAGTGAGACTTATATTCGCACCTTTACGAGAAAAAAAATGGTGCTCTATCCTGTATATTTTGGGACCTAAAAATGATTGAATATCTGTTGAAACTAAAATTAATTTAGGCGGAGGTAATGCATCAAATCTGAAGAACCAGATGAAAAAAGGACTGACTAACATTGTCGCTAAAGGAGGACTTAAGGTATAAATTCATGACGGTTGGGTAAGGAGGTTCCCTCTTCTCAGAACTAATTTTTTCATCTTTGTATGGAATGTTTGCATGGGGCGAACAAAGTAGAAATAAAAACTTGCCTGTCATTTTTTCCCTACTGATAGGTTGATTGACTGATATATTGATTCATTGATTCATTGGTTAATTGGTGTATTGGTGCATTCATGCATTCATGCATTAGGTCCGGGAGACTAAGACAAGCATGCTGCGACAAAGTTTCCGGAAGAAAACTGATAAAACTGAGAAGATTGAGAGTAAAGAAGAGAATAAGACTGAAAACAAGGCGGAGAAGAGCATCGAAGGTAATTAATACAGCTTTGTTGTAGACTTCTTATAAATGACTGTAAGTGTAATTTAATGTGACTCTCCGTGCAAATAAAGCAAAAAGTGTTGATTTCTGTGAATTACTCCATTATTTCTTACAAGCAAGAAATGCTAAAGTCACAAATGCAGAGAAACCGCTAATAATAATGAATGGTTAAAAGTCAAAAACATCTAATTAACTCTTGTTCAAACAAAAGCTTTTAAGGGTACTTTAGTAAATCGGACATTGCCATTTTTGCATTGAGGGTCTCTTAAAATTACCCTTACAGCCCTTCTTTTGAGTCCAGATTAATATTTTGTGCTATGGTTTTGTTACAGTAACAAAACCAAACTTCAGCACAAGATTCGTTATGGATGATTTCTAAACAGTTGATGCCATAGTTGTCATGCCATAGGCATAGGATACATATCAGCAATTTATATAAGGGGTTATATCCGGAGTATCATAAGCATATGCATTCCTTGATATTTCTTTAAAAAGAATAAGTTGAGGAAAGCAGTGCTTAGGAACCATTCAATTTTGATGCGGATCCGCACTGGGAAAAAATAGATCTGGAGCCAAGTCATGAACATTTCTTCAAGATTTACTTAAGTTTAAAAAAGCAAAATTGTCAACTTACTTTTCTTCTTTTTTTCGCTTATTTTTATGCTAAAACTTTTTGAACCATCTAGAGACCAGGAAATTTTTATAATCTCTCTTTTTTTTTGAACAGTTCAGATTTGGGGTTTGAGATAATAAAAGTTTTTTTTCATTTTTTTTTTTAAATTTTGCCCCATGGGGATCTGCATATGTTTCCGGATCCAGGAGGTCAAAATCTTTCGGATCTAACGGATCAGGATCCTAAGCACTGATTGAAAGAAAAAATTGATTATGAAACAAAAAACTCAAATTCATGAGGAATATTTTTTTTTAGAAAATCTTTCGAGTTCCTCCGAGGAACTACTGGTTTGCGAACTAGACTCCTCTCCCAACAACACGGTGAGACAGGTTAAACTTTTATTTAAATTTTAATTGTCTCTTTCAGATCTGTGAGCATTTTTACTGTGTACAATATAAAATAAGGACAGCAAAATTCGTTCGAGGATTTTCAAAATTTGACAAATCTCAAATTTTGTAATTTTGAGCATTTACAAACCTTCCCTGCGGTCATATGAGCAGTTCAGCCGTTTTGACGTTTATTGGACACTAATAAACAGATAGACAGACAAGCAAAGTATTTAAACAGGATATAGATATTAATGTTTATAATTGCAAATTCGGGTCCGTCCTAGTATACGATTTTTGGACCCCCCCCCCCCCCTCCTATCAATTTTGTACATGACCACTTATTTTTCAGCAAATTTGTTATTTTTTATTTTTTTTTATTATTTATGGTTAGTTTAGGTTAAGACACTTTCTGGGCCGAGCGCTGCGGCCACGGGTTATGTCAAGTTATGACACTTTCTTTATTTAGGGTTAGGTTAGGTTAAGACAAGACACTTTCTGGGCCGAGCGCTGCGGCTAGGACATGCTAGGGGGCCGAGTGCTGCGGCTACGGGTTAGGTTAAGTTAAGACACTTTCCGGGCCGAGCGCTGCGGCTAGGACAGGCTAGGGGGCCGAGTGCTGCGGCCACATGTCTTACATTAAAGATCCATGTACAAAATTGATAGGATGGGGGGGGGGCGTGGTCCAAAAATCGTATACTAGGAAATTACCCAAATTCTAATTATTTTCATATGTGCTTTCTCTTAGCTACTGCAGTAAAACATATGCCAATTATCCCAATTAAAAACCTTGTAAAACGACTATATGTTCTACATTACTGATCTGATAAAACTTTCAAAACTTATTTTTTCATCCATTTCAACTTTTTTCGTATATCACTAAATGTCTAATAATCTTCTTTTTTTCAAACTAATCATTAGCAAACTTTTAAATAATTTGTTAAAGGTATCCTCCGGACCCCCGACTGAAGAAATACCTCAGGATTTTAAAATTATCTCCCCACCAAGGAAAACTCCACCTGAAGGTATGTTTTTAGTTTTCAGAGTTGGAAACTTATAAATGAAGTCAAGTGGTGAAAACTTATAAATTCTTAATTTTTGGATCAAACAAACTAGCTCACTAATTCACACACGCTAGTTCATTAAATTACACTATAGACTCACACTATTTTTCTAACTGATACACGTACTAGCACAATAATGTGCACACAGTAGCTTACTAGCTATTAACTCACTCATACACTAATTAATTAAACTACTAACTCACTCACCCAGTCACCCATAGCTCATTCACTATAGCATAAAACCGCTGATAAGTCATTCGTTTTGTCAATTGTTCAAAATACCTAGACTCTAAAACATATGAAGAATAACACTTTTAGGCGTTGTTGATTTTGACCTCGAGACTTATGGAGACCCATCCCAGCATGCGGAATACGTTCTTCAGACCTTCCAATATTACAAGGTATTATTATTATCAATCAACCTACAGACAAAGTAAAACGACCTGTAGGTTATAATACAATGAAAACAGGGTTGAGCCATCCCACTTGCCCTGGTCAAAATGGGATCTAGTGGTTCAGATCTGGCCTGAATTTTCTAGGTATGCTGGGACCTAAACTTTGAAATTGAAATAATTTCACCCACGTGGACAAAGTTGAACCACTTTAATTCATCTTTAACCGCCACAGAAGAGTAGTTCATCTACGTCTACATAGTTCAACCACTTCTCGCTATTCATCAAGGCTTTTTGTTTTCAAGAAGTAACTCCGGGAGGGATGAGTTTTGATTTATAGAGACCTAAAGGAATTGCGACTTAAAAGATTTTTCATGATCTGAGAGTTACTTTTAAAATCATGTATTCCTGTTTCGAGGATTTTTGATAATGAAGACATCATTTTCAATTTTTCCAGGAATGTTTAAAAATCAAGCGCCAGCGAAATATTATTTTTAAAAAAATATTATGAAATATTAACTATTTAAGAATGCGTCGAAAAATTATCGATGATTATTGTTTGTAATATCTGAATGATTTGTTTGGAATTAAATTGATCATTTTACGATCCGAGTGTACCTTTTTTACGATAATTTTACGATCCGAGTTGCAGGGTGGCCAAAATGTACGGACTGTACGGATTGTTCGGATTGTACGGATTGATTTTTTTTAACCCTAAAATTGTACGGATTGTACGGATTGTACGGATTTGTTTTCAAATTGTACGGATTGTACGGATTTTTTAAAAAAAAAATTGTACGGATTGTACGGATTGTTTTTCGAAAATTGTACGGATTGTACGGATTTCTTCTGAAAATGTACGGATTTTTGTACGGATGGGTTCAAAAAAGTTTTGGCCACCCTGGAGTTGACTGTTGCAACTTTCCGAATTTGTATGGACGCTGTGTTCTTCGGTGTGAGTCGTTTTTAACAATTTTCTCCTTATAAACGCAACAGATAGAAGTAAGATTAGTAGCGATCAAAAGCGCTTATTTTTCGCCGTAAGCCTATACCCCCTTTCATTTTTTGCAAACACTCCCTTTCATATTTTTAGCGGAACACAAGAACACAAGATCATGGACTTGTATAGCTAAGTTTTTAGATTAGCGGGATTCAATCAAAATTGCTGCTTACCAGATTTTTTAAAAGGAAAAAGGCCAGAGGGGTAAAAAAATAAATTTTAAATTTTTCTCAACTTTTGAATACACTTTTATCTGTTTTAGGACCGTGAGCCATTGTTCAAGATTCCTGATTATATTTCAGCCCAGGTATTTTAAGCAATTTTAACAGTATTAAAGGGACTGTAAGCGTAACTTGAAGTGACCCTCCATGCAACGATGGCATGGCCCGATTCACAACTCTCAGTACACATAAAAGACTTCGTCTGGTCACCAATTTGTAATAAATTGTCGATTTTCTAGGTTTAAAACTGTTTTCCTGGAGAAGAAATGCGCGCATGTCACTTTTGTAGAGTAAACATCTTTATCTAATTCATACTTTATCAGACAACAGAGAAACCACAAATGAAAATAAACGGTTTAAAGAAACAAAAACATTGATATCTAATTTATACTTGATCAGACTAAGCAATCAAGGATACCGTTGTAAATCGGGCATTGTCATCTTTTGATGTAGGGTCACTTAAATACACGCTTTAAAGGAAGAACAAAGCTGGCAATCTTGTCACAATTTTCTGAGTTTTTTTCTGCATATTAATTCAAAATAAAGATCTAATTATAAGTTTAAGATATAAAGAAGGATATATGAAAACTACCAACCCAACTGTTTCTGTTGTGGGTACCACAATATTAATTACATTATGTACAAAAATGTTTTAAATTACACTATTTTTTACTAGATACTTATTAAACTTGTTGTGCAAACCCATTTGTCATAATTTATAATTAATGGTAATTTTTAAAAATTAAATAGATTCTAGTGCAATAGATGGCAACGTAGAATTTGTACACTCTCAGTACAGTTGTATTCTGTCGTCACAAGTGTCAATTCAGTTTTGGTGTCCGACAAAGTGCTTTTCTTACAGTAAAATAAGTGCCATTTTATGTGTTCTTTAGTTTCTGTTTTTACACTTTTTTATTTAATCTTGGAAAGCATGGCAACTAATGTCAGACAATTTCGTTTTTCTTGTTATATTTGACACTTGTGACGTCCTGTATAATTGGTTCATTTCTCTGTTGCCACCTATTGTGCTTGATAATCTATTTGGTAAAAATATTAACATCAAATACTTTAATTACTTGAATGTCGTCATTCTAGTCAAAAGATTCATGGATTGGATATCACTAAAATACTACATCAAGTAAATGTTACAAAGTACACATACTAACTAATTTACTAAATACGACAACTATAAGAAGGAACTTCTGTTTTCTTATTTATATATCATAATTATAAATAATATTGTAGTTTTAAACTCACACAGGAAGTATTAATTTAAACCATTTAATTATTTCTAGAAGGAACTCACTGAGCCCATGCGAGCTATTCTTGTTGATTGGTTGGTTGAGGTAAGGTTATTCTTAATCTCAAAACCCTCCCTCCCAACCATATGACAGTAAATACAACAGCTATAATACAGCAATATGAGTGAAAATAGAAAATGTTTAAACTTTCTTTTTTAGTTTTCGTCTCATTCTTTTCATTTTTACCCTTTTCTGCGATACGGTACGGTTACCAATGCAAAAAAAAAAATTATTTATTTTGAAATTTAAAGTTCTCTAAGAAGTGTAGTAGACGTCCTGTTCCATCGCTTGTTGAAGATTTTCTAGTTTTTCTCTTGTAATCTTTCTCTTCGAGGATATACATTTTTTGATGTTTAAAAAATCTATCATCAACAGCATCCGCAACATTTTAGCTTCCTGGATTAAAATATCAACAAAAAACTGCAAAAGCAAAAACAAAACCCAAATCTGGACTGTTGAAACAAAAAGAGATTATCGAACAAAAATTCTTATTTTTAGTATGAATTTAAGCGTAAAAAAAGGAATAAAATTTCTTAAATTTCTTCTTTTGTTAAAAAATCAGTAAATCTTAGACATGTTTATGACCTGAGCTGAAAACTTTAGAATGGGATATCCTTAATGCCGATCGCTTAATTAATCTGGAGATTAATAACAAGCATTATTTAATTTGGAGATTAAGAAAAAGAGGAGATCAAGCATTGATCTCGATATCCACCATTCTAAAGTTTTCAGCTCTGGATCTCTAGTTTTTTTTTGTAATTTCTCATATCGTGGATTTACATGTTATGATATCCCGCATTCTCAGTGTTGATGATAAAGAATCTGTCTTGAACAATGAACAGTATGATTGTCTAGGTCCAGGAGAGTTTTGAACTGAACCACGAGACTCTGTACACTGCTGTAAAATTAACAGACCTTTATCTTTCTAAGAAACAGGTAACTCAAGTTGAAGTACCCAGGGTTTCCCATTGGATTTTAAAATGAACTTGGGGGGGAAAAAGAAAATAATTTAAATAGAAATATTTAAGCCTGTTGCCCCAATAGTACCCCCAATACCCAATGGGTTTACTTAACAAAAAATTCAGCCAATTTGATCTAGTATAGTTAATCGTTATGATTCGTCTTTTTTTTTGTTATGCTATAAGGTCGAAATTTGGCATAGTAAAAGAAAAGCTTAGTTTAAAATTGTTGATTGTAATCAGAAAACAGAAGTTGAGTTTATTCCATGAGAAGAGTTGTATATTGTACAATGTACATCTTCACAATAAATTATCTGAGGTGACCGGCGTCGCCCATGAAATTTGAACCTAAAAATAGATTAAATTTTCACCAAATATTCGAATTTTTATATCCTTTGTCACACTTTTGGGTAGCTCAAGGGTTCCCTGAAATGGTTTACCCAATTTGGTGCAGCCTATTGGCCAGCGATAGCTTACATTTATAATTGATATAATAATGATATTTTTGTTCTAGGTGAAGAAGGAAGATTTACAGTTAGTTGGAGCTACAGCCTGTCTGATTGCAAGCAAGGTGAATAATGATTACAACAATATATCAAATAATGTAATTTTTGTAAACGCTTTACAAACAATTGTTTATTCTGGAAACTTCTAGATATTTCTCTTTAAATATAAACGTATCCCTCCAATGGTTGATATATTGATCTATATATTAGGTTGATAAATGTATCTTCCAATGGTTGATATATTGATCTATATATTAAGTTGATAAACTTATTCCTCCAATGGTTGATATATTGATCTATATATTAGGTTGATAAACGTATCCCTCCAATGGTTGATATATTGATGTATACATTAGGTTGATGAACGTATTCCTCCAATGGTTGATATATTGATCTATATATTAGGTTGATGAACAAATCCCTCCAATGGTTGATATATTGATCTATACATTATTAGGTTGATGAACGCATCCCTCTAATGGTTAATATATTGATCTATACATCAGGTTGATTAACGTATCCCTCCAATGGTTGATATATTGATCTATACATTAAGTTGATGAACGTATCCCTCCAATGGTTGATATATTGATCTATACATTAGGTTGGTGAACGTATTCCTCCAATGGTTGATATATTGATCTATACATTAGGTTGATGAACGTATCCCTCCAATGGTTGATATATTGATCTATATATTAGGTTGATGAACGTATTCCTCCAATGGTTGATGATTTCCTGTATGTATGTGACGATGCCTACACAAGGGACCAGATCATGAGACTGGAGAGGAAGATGCTGAGCGTGGTCGGGTTCGATCTAGGATTCTCCCTCTCATACAGGTACAGAATATACAGGAATATTTTTCGTTAAAACCATCTTCTTTTTCAGCCCTTTTTTCCAAAATTTAATTGCGGTCTATTGCTTACTTGAGAAAAATAAATACTTCAAATTTTTTTCTTATTTGGAAATAATTTACCTTATTAACCGTTTTTACCTTTTTGTTTAATTTTTTCATGCTGTCAAGTTTTAGCGTAAATCAAATTTATCAAAATTGGATTTGATTGCTAACTTGGGGAAAATAAATTATTTAATTAATTATATTCCGATTTTTTTCTTAAACTTCTTTTGAAATAATTTATCTTTTACCTCTTTTATTTGGGGGGGGGGGGCATATATTATAAATACTTCTCTTTAGGTTGTAAAGTTTGGACTTAAATAATTTTTCTTGCACGTTTTGGCATCAATTTACTCAAAATGATGTGGATGTCAATTTCACAGTGCCCTAGACCCCTTTATCTGTCTAGTATTGTGGAAATTTATCAGGTTTCAAATTCATAAACATTGATATCTAATTCATACTTGATCAGACAAAGCTTCTAAGGTTACCATTGTTAATCGGACATTGCTATGTTTACATGGAGCGACTCTTAAAAGTATGATTACAGTCCCTGAGATTACAGTCCCTGAAATTACAGTCCCTGAGATTACAGTCCCTGAGATTACAGTCTCTGAGATTACAGTCCCTGAGGTTACTGGATGAAAAATTAATAATTAAAATTTCAGGTTTCTCCGAAGATATGGCAGAGTATGCAAAGTAACCATGCCTGTACTTACTCTAGCGAGGTAAAAAAAAACCTGTCAATTTTCTTAAATTCTTAGATCACATATCTGAACATTTCTTGTAATATAAAAAAAATTCGCTAATTCTATGATATCGTTCAAATTCAAATTCTGATATTTTTTCACATTCTGACATTTCCTTCAGTTTCAAATTTTGACAAACAGGGTTATTCACAAAGGATGAGATTGTACTAACGACTTAAAACTCGTGAAATATGACGATCTCAAGTGTTTTATAAGTCTTAATTGAAAAAGAAAGAAAAGGTTTATAGTTTCACTTTCAGGTAATCATAAATATAAGGAAACATAAGTTCCGTACAGTCGTCTTTGAAGTCTCATCCTTTTTGGGTAATCCTGTAATTCTCAGAGATCCTTTTCTTATTCTCAGATATTTTAAACAAAGAGAGTAGAATATATTAGAGAGGAATTTACTCGAAAAATTCATAAACTCCTAGATATGCTCAATAAACCACACAAGGTAATATATAGCAGGTTTACACTCCCTCAGATCATAAACTCCTAGATATGCTCAATAAACCACACAAGGTAATATACAGCTTGCAGGTTTACCCTTCCTCAGATCATAAACTACTAGATATGCTCAATAAACCACACAAGGTAATATACAGCATGTATACCCTCCCTCAGATCATAAACTCCTAGATATGCTCAATAAACCAAACAAGGTAATATACAGCAGGTTTACCCTCCCTCAGATCATAAACTCCTAGATATGCTCAATAAACCACACAAGGTAATATACAGCAGGTTTACCCTCCCTCAGATCATAAACTCCTAGATATGCTCAATAAAACCACAAGCGGTTATACCAATATAGGCCATTACAAAATAGTTCTGAATTATATCTAGAAATTATCTAGAAAACTAATTGTTTTTTTATTTGTCTAGGAGAACCTGAAAACTGTCAGAAGCAAATACAGCCATAAGGTAGATTTTTATTCATTATACAGGGTTACCCATAAGGCATAAAGAATGAGATTTCAAAGACTTTAGGCGAGTGACATCAGTGCAAGTTTTTTTAAACACATTTTAACTAGTTTACCCCACAATTTATTTACTTTTTTCTATAAAAATCTTCTGTTTATCCCAAATTCAGTAAAAAAAAATCCTTTAAAATTTCATTTTCGCTTCGCGCAAACATACCTAACAAATGGAATAAAATATTTTTGTATTTGGTATTTCACTCCATCTAGTAGAGATTAATTTAACTTATTACCATATATTTAACTCCATCTAGTGGAGATTTATTTAACTTATTACCATATATTTAACTCCATAAAGTGGAGATTTATTTAACTTAGTACCACATATTTAACTCAATTGAGCGGTGATTTATTTAACTTTTTACAATGTATGTCTCCATATAGCGGTGATTTATTTAACTATGTTTCAGGTGTTCCACGAGGTGGCTACTATCCCCCTGCCAACGACAGTGTCTATGGAATAGACGTAATAACGACAAACTTGTAAATATTTTGACTATTATAGATGATTCATGTTCCTCATTCATAACATGCAAATAATTTAATTCTATATGAATAAAATCCCGGAAAAGTAACTGACATTTATGAAAATTAAAAATGTACATTAAAAATCGTACCAAACTTAGTAAATTATCTGAACTCAAATTAGATGATTTAAGGTTCATAGCATTAAATTTAAGCTAAATTGTTCTTTTTGTATTTTAAATTGTAGTTGTAGATGTCTCTGTTGTATTGTTTACTTATAAATTATTTTTGAAATAAATTCTGTATATATTTAATGGCATATATTTGTTGACAAAATCGGTTTTAAGGGGGATATCTTTGTATTTGTTAACTTTTTCTTATACAAAAAGTGATACAGGATGTCCCGCGAAAAATGACAGTGAGTGAATAGTTTAAACTTCTTCCAAAACTTGCTTTTTGATTCCAAAGAGAATATTGAAAAGTATTATATGGCAGTCATAAAACAGTAAAATTGATTCTAAGGTAAAATATATTAAAGTTCAGAGTTTTATAATAAAATAAACTGCAAGCGCAAAAAAGTCTTAAATACAGGGTTACCCACAAAGGATGTAAAGCTGTAAAGACGACCTAAAATATGTTAGTGTTAAGATTAAATCAAGTCCTCGGAATGAATTAAAGTTGTTTAATGCATGCCTTTTTCTTGATTTGACAAAGAAAGAAACAAGCCAACAGTTCCAGGGATATGGAAAGAGACATTCTCTCGCCCGAAAAAGTTCTACAATTTACAAAACGAATTTTACTTAAAATAAATCTCAATAGATTAAATTTAAATAACAAAAATGTTGCTACTTAGCGGATTATGGAAGTGACTGTCTTCGATTTGGCTGAAATTTTTACACCGCTAAATGTTTAAAAAAAAACATCAAGACAAAATTTTGGTCGGAATTTTGAAAAAATTGACAATAATTAAGAGATTTTTTTGGATTTGAACAAAAAGTCAAAATTTTTACTAACTTAAAATCAACAGACGTGAAACTACAATTTTTGTAAAAATTTTATTTTCGAAATATTTAGGGGTTAAAAAAACTTGAAAAATATTAAATTTTAAAAACATCGTAGCCGCTTTCAATACATTTGTTGATAGTTCTCTAACTGTGGGCTCAGTTAGCTGTACTGTACACTTACAACTGTTTACTGAAATTGATTATTGATATACTATAGGTAAGGCTATGGAATCAACTTATAATAAAGAAATATGAAGTACGCTCTCGGTATAGTTTATGGCTTATAAAATTAGGATTAGCGTACATCATCACTCTACATACTATAACCTCGTTGGGCTTAACACTATTATAGCGGTTTAAAAAAATCTAAAATAATTATGTTTCCACATACATATGATATGTCTAAAGTCTGGTTACTCAAGAAATCTATTCTTGAGTTCAAACATACGTTTAGGACTACTTTGTCGCCGTCATTGTAGGGCTTTATATTGTTATGACGGCTCATGCACTCCTCAGATATATGCATTATAATTAGGTGCAAAATTGTCGGATAGCTGCAAGATTCTCAAAAATGAACAGATAGACAACGGAATAACCCTTATATCAAAACCGTATAATGCAGAGAAACTCTTTATTTCCTAAGAAAATGAAATGGATAATAACATGTAAATTATTACAAAGTTTTATAATTTTATAATGAAAAGATTCTTACGATCTAATAATTGATATGAAGGTTTAAACTGTCGGGGAGTCCTAAGACGTTTTTATATATTTAAACTTCTGAAAAGAATGACAATTAATTGTTAACGAAAGTCACTAATTCTTTATATGAAAATATTCTGTTACCGGAGAACTAAGAAAATGGGGGTAAAAATTATTTGGTTTGGTGTCTCCGAAAGGGGATTTCAAGTTAAAGACGACGTTACATGGATGGACGGTCTTATAGTTAATGGTTGACAAAAATACATTCAAAACAATTGTCCATAGTTTTGATACGGAACAGGGCGAGTACTCAAGAAGTACTTAAGCAGCAAACATTGGTATACATAAAAACATATTTTTATAATAATTACAATGTAATCTTACTTTATATTTGTACCCTGTGTGTGCTAATCTATATTGTTCAATGACAGTTTATTTTTACCTGTACCAATATACCTAAATATATTTAGCTGGATATATGACTCTGTACCATTATACCTAAATATATTTAGTTGGATATATGACTCTGAATACGAGGGGTTGTACAATCAATAGAGCTTAAGTGTGAGTTAGAGAATACTTTGAGAACGCTTTTGGAGTTTTGGCATTGTTACAGTCTAAAGCCGTTCAGATTGTTTAAAAGACAGTTTTGACTTTATAAATGGATTTCTCAGGCCTGAAGTGACAATGAATAAGATATCGTCTTTAAAACAGTAAAAATGTTACCGTTGCTTCACAATTTTTTTGCTGCAAACTACAAATAAATGAGACAAAATAAAAAAAAGAACATTTTATCATTCAAAGTTGTGAATCGGACATGCCGTTCAGGTCACTTACAGTTACGTGGACAATATCCTAAAAGTATCTGAAACATATATGAAGATCTCTTTCCGAATATATAATCTTTCATGTTCCAACATTTAAAGCTTTTCAACCTGTTCCTGATGTTTAAATTAAAGGGACTGATGAGCGCAACTTCCATCGACACTCCGCGTGCAAAAATGCACGATTCACAACCGTACCCTTGTCATTGTTCTAGATTTGTAAATGTTTATTATACTAATAATTCTTTTATGCTTTTCTGCAGTTGAAATTTGCAAGTCACTTTTGTAGAGAGACAACAATCGAAAATAATCTGTTTTTAAATTATAACATAGAAATCTAATTCACATTCGATTAGCCCTTTTCAGGGTACCGATGTACTTGGAAATTACGCTTACAATCCCTTGAATATTAAAGTATTCTACATAACAAGCGCGCGGAAGAAGCCTGGGCATTGCATGTGAGGAAAGCAAATAATTGAATTTTTTAAAATCTAAATTTTGAAAAAGAATTCTTTTTATTTAAAGAAAATTTCGAATTTTTTTGATTATGTTACCTCCAGGGTAACCAGGGGTTCCCTCAAAATATTATAGCCAATTTGGTTCAACCGTTTGGCCAGCTATAGCTATAGCTACAAATATATATATCACCGAAGAGCTTTATCAAAAAGATTCTTAACATTTTCGTTACAGTTGCCTTACGTTAGCCTGTAATAAGCAGACAACAAAAGTGTCTAATCTACTCTCACATTTATTTACTTGCCAACTTTCATAGAAAAAAATATTTATTTAAATCTAAAAAAAATTATAATATCAAATTAAATTCTTTTCATCATTACATCACATTCATTAATTAAAAGAAAATCCAAAATAAACAATTATAATTAATTTTCACACAGTTCACATAGTAGGATTACCAAAAAAGGCTATAATAACGATCAAAATATCTAAAGTTTTCTTTTCTATTCTTCAAGTCTTCCGATGCCTAATGATTTTGCACACAAAAAATCAAGTTCATAGGTCCATGGAACCACGTTTTTTGTAAAAATGATTAAATAATTTCCCTATAGTAGTCTCTACTGTCGGGGTACCCCTGTATTTTGTAACAATTATTTATAATATTGATAATTAATCCAATATTAAACAGTTTGGGCTAAGATGACCTATTTTATTTAGAAAATAAATATAGACACATTCTAAACATTTGCAATTCTTACACTAGGCCAAATGTTGACCCTGAGAGCAAAGTTTTAAACTTTTGAAATGTTGGAAGTTTTATTAGAAGTTTTTAAAACACGAACAAAACGATTAACAGCCCTAAATACAGATAATATTGACAATGGTATTAATGATAATAATGATAATAATAATTGATGATGTAAGAGTTATCCACCCCTGTTCTCAATGTGAATATGCTGCAACATAAATTAAATACTGCACATACACATTAAGCCCAGGGGTAAAAACCATGGGGGTTAGCTTAGAAGGTTTTTTCCCTTCCACTCCCTTTAAAAATCAGTTTCCACAGAAAAAACAATAGACTAAAAGTAAATGATTAAGAAAAGCTGAAAGCTATGAAAGCAAAAGTTGAAAAAAAAGACTGAACAAGTAAAGTTTCGACAGTTTTTGTTGGGTTAGATTAGGTTGGGACATGTCCTTGCTGGGTACACTGCACTAATGGGCCCTCTGCTGCGGCTAGGACATTTAAAAACGCACTTGGAAAATTGAACAATTAAAAAAAATAGAAAATTTTAACTTTTTTGAATTTTTCAACTTTGTATGTTAAATATCATGAAAAAAGATAGTTCACATGGAAGAATCTGTTAAATATCCTTGTCCTCAATGTGAATATGCTGTAACTTTAATATGACACTGCACATTCACATTCAGAACAGGGGTAAAAAACATAAAACGCATGACAACCACCAATGGTGGTTCATTGCCCGAAAGATGGTCAAATAAACATAAGCCTGATAAAATGGTATGTTTTCTTTTTAAATTTTGATGACTGCACTAAGAGTAAAAGAGTCAAGTTAAGTTAAAGTTAACCACCCTTGTCCTCAATGTGAATATGCTGTAACTTTAATATGACACTGCACATTCACATTCAGGACAGGGGTAAAAAACATAAAACACATAACAACCACAAATGGTTCATTGCCATAAACATAATCCTCATAAAATGGTGTGTTGTCCTTTTTCAATTTTGATGACTGCACTCAGGGTTAAAGAATTAAATTAAGTTAAAGTTTAACACCCTTGTTCTAAATGTGAATATGCTGTAACATAAAAATCGCACATTGCACATTCACTTTCAGCACAGGGGTAAAAAATGAAAACGCAGGAAAAAATCCAATCTTTGTCTTAATAGAGTGTCAACAATATCCTGGGGAAATGGTTTGTTGGCTTTAATCAATTCGAAAGGCAGATAATAGTTAAAGACACATGATGTTTAAGTTAGATATCAATGTTAAATATGTTGTAACAAATTATACAATGCATATTCACATTTAGCCCGAGGGTAAGTAACATAAGACACATGTCAACATCTGGCAAGTTGGTTTTCATTATCCTGAAAAATAAAAAATTACATCCTCTTTAAATCTGGATGGCAACTAGATATAGTTTGAGACATATGATGCATATGTTAAATATCCTTGCCCTCAATGTAAATTTGCTGTAGCTTTAATATGACACTGTTGATTCACATTCAGTCCTGTTAATGTACAGGGTTACTTTAATGTACAGGGTTACTTTAATGTACAGGGTTACTTTAATGTACAGGGTTACTTTAATGTACAGGGTTACTTTAATGACAACCTAAAACTCGTTAAATATAAACATCTAAAAAATTTTATCTTATATTTATAATAAAGTCTATTAAATAAATGTAGTCTATAAATAGTAAGATAAAAGATCGAATAATTTCCATACAATCCAGGGGAGTAGTCAGGAATTTGTCCAAGGGGGGGGGGGCTCAGCATAGCTGCTGGGGTCTAAAAAAACTGAACTGCATAGATTTCACTGGTCCAAGGGGGGATGTGGCCCCATAGCCCCCCCCCCTTGAATACTCCTCTGAAGTCTAGTGTAGCGTAGATGATGTATCCTTGTCCTAAATGTGACACTGCAGTCTGCACACTCGCTTTCAGTCCGAGCATTAAAAACATGACCAATGGCTATGTTCAAAGATTCGTTGTCAAAATCCCGAGAAAATGTTTATGTTAACCACATATATTCCGAATGAGAGAGTGACAGCATAGATGTATATATGTTGGATATCCCTGTGACCAGTGTGAATATGCTGCATATTATTTACAACACTGCACATCCACACTTGTCCCCAGGATAGAAAACAAGGAAAAAGTTTCAAAAATTAAATTCCGATGTCCAAAAATTCCAAGATATAGAAATGTTCAATGAAAAATAGTGTTCGTTTATAAATTGTCTGAATAGTTCTGTGTCACTGTTTGGCGGGCTAGGTTGCTATAAAGCTTTACTCAATCACGTCCTTTATGCCGCAATTTAAATCAAAAAATTAATCTAGATTTTTGATCTATTTATTTATTTTGTTTTAATCTATTTAAACATTATCATTTATGATAAACAGTTCTCAAATTTATTTAGGTCTCTAACAAATTTATTTCATAATCTTAAAAGTTAGTTTTATGATTTCTTTAAATAACTTCTAAATGCGCATGTGCAATATAGTTAATACCTGTAAGCCGTGACGTCATGAAGGTAGATTAATAATATAAGGAATTTCTACAACGTGAAAATTCGATGATACATCTGAAAACCTAACAGAAGGAGAAGGTCACATGAATGCGAGATTTCTTGTCCAACTTTGTGACGTCGTAACTCATCTCCTCTAGTTATATTAAGAAAAACAACTGACCCGAGCTGAAAACTTTAGAATGGGCCGGTTACCTGAATCCTGATCAGTTGATTAATCTGGAGATTAAAACCAAGAGGCGAACAAGCATTATTTAATCTGGAAATTAAGAAAAAGAGAAATCAAGCATTGATCTTGATATCCACCATTCTAAAGTTTTCAGCTCTGGTTACAATAAAATCAAAATATACTACATCTTCTCGATATAGATTTTCAATAAAAGGAGTTCTGATTGAAAACATATGATATCTCAATCTCGTGTGCAATTTACTTTACTTTGACGTGTATAGGCCATCTATAAAAAGTAATAAAAAGCAATAAAAAGCAATAAAAAGCAATAAAAAGCAATAAAAAGCAATAAAAAGCAATAAAAAGCAATAAAAAGCAATAAAATGCAATAAAATGCAATAAAATGCGATAAAAAACAATAAAATGCAATGAAATGCAATAAAAAGCAATAAAAAGCAATAAAATGCAATAAAAAGCAATAAAAAGTAATAAAAAGCAATAAAAAGTCATGCCAAAAAGAAAGAATAACTATTTGTTTTACTATTAGCGATGATTTACCAGGGAGAACTGCCAACGTTACCGGGAATTTACTTTTCAAAGTGTTTTCGAGACTTGATGAAATTTCAATTCCAGCGGAGAAGTCAATTTCCTGTGAAGTGCAGTTCTCCCGAAGGAATGGCATAAATATTATAGTAAAATAAGTTTGAGAAAAAGATGTTTTTTTTACCGAAATAAACTGCAATGTGTGGAAGAAATTAAAAATTATTCACAAACTGTCGTGTTTCGTGGGACAACCTGTAAGAAACAATAAAGGAGAAGTAACTTATCAAGAAAAGATTCTGCTAAAATATTTTCTGCTTTAATTGGATACTTGAACCTTTCTCCATACATCTCAGCCGATATTGTACTGAACAATTCAATAAATTCGCCAGGGAGTGTCCATTTGCTTCTTTTTCAGGCTTGGGGCCATCAGAAGATCGCTTCTAGGTTACTGCTTATCAGTCTGACACAATTTATAGGAGAAGCGAAAAAATAGCTGATTAAACTATTTTTCTTGCTTTTGCGCATTATTTTCAAGAATTGTCAAGAACATGTACTTTTAAATTTTGTTCTGAAATTAGATAAATTACTATTTCATTTATTGTGCCGAGACCTATGCGTTTTTATTAGAAAAAATATATTAATAACAAAATATCATACTAGATTATGTTGTTTTATATCACTGTTAAGAGCTTCTAATTTCAACAGTTTTTGGTCTAGAAGAAAATCTATCCTCTGACCTCTCATCACTAATGATTTGAATAGACAACATATAATATACCTAGGCTTCCGTCTACAACAGGAATAAAATCTAATTGTTTATATATTACCTATATATATTTCAATAAGACAACGGTTAACATATTTACAAAACAAAGTACGTAAAATCCAGCGAAGATATACACTATACAGTCTAGTACAACGTAAAAGCCGCAGTGCTCGGCGCTAAATCCGGGAAATCTAGTTTAAACGGGATAAAATGCCGCGGTCTCTATTCGTTAATGGTTTCGCAGTGTTAAACTGGGATAAAACTATATTTACACGAGATAATAATCAACCCTGTTAATTACAGAGTTACAGAGGGAGCATTTAAGTATTTGAATTTAATAAGATTTGACAACATTTTCCTAATTTAAAAAAAAATGGCGCTAATCAGATGAAGAATCTATTGATTGCAGAAAAAAAGCGAAATAATTACAGAAATCGTCTCGAAGATTAGACGAATGTTAATTCATGAGAACATTTATACGAGTAAAATTTTCCATACAGACCAAATAGTTGGACAATGTCAAAACTAAGGATAGGATAAACTGACACATAGTGTAAGAGATAGAGGGGGGGGGGGGGAAGCCAGGAATCCAAATTCTAAATTTCAATTTATTTCAGATGTGAATAGGAAGTCGAAACTTGGAACTTGAAATAATTTTATTCCTTCCGAGATATTAAGTGCAACATTTATGTACAGAATCTGTAGGTTAGGTGTAGGGGTGTACATGTGTACTGCAGGAGGAGAAGGGGTTGTAGTTGTTGTTTATATTTACATATATATATATATATATAATTCTGTGTTTATATCCCTGCCGGTGTAGTGAATAGTGAATACACTACCCGATAAATACATTTAGAACTGTTCTCGTTTCAGTTAACCAGACAGATAAATCCAGCTGGTAACAGCTAACTAGATAGATAGAACAGCTGGTAACAGCTGGCCTAGTCACATCTGTACTAGACAGCTAAATCCTTGAAGTTTAACAGCTGGGAGAATGGATTCAAGAGCTTGAAGCTTGAGGTGCCATAGCAGCATCCTAAACATTCAGATTTTAGAGCTGTCTGTCTTAAATCCTAAACCGACCTGTTTATCTACCTGATTAGCTATTTGTCTATCTATCTATCTGTACCAGTCTATCTATCTGTATCTATCTATCTATCTATCTATCTATCTATCTATCTATCTATCTATCTGTCTATCTATCTGTGTATCTACCTGTCTATCTACCTGTCTATCTACCTGTCTATCTACCTGTCTATCTACCTGTCTATCTACCTGTCTATCTACTGTATATCTACCTGTATCTACTCTCTATCTACCTGTCTATCCTGTGTGTCGACTACTGCTTCCTCTGCTGGTGCATCAGCTAGGGTAGATTGAAGATGAACAGGAATGAGTTGACTGTTCAGGGCTGGTTGGGTTTTTAACTCCTAGAAAAAAAAGCTAAAATAAAATAAAAAATGTAAAAGTAAAATACAGGGTTAATTTTTCATTCATAATAAAAATCCCCATTCGTTTAAATCCTGATCGATCACTTTTTAGGAATCGAAGGAGTGAATCCCTCTTACAAACCGATTCTAAGTATAATTTCAAGATGGCAATACCCGATTTACAAGGGTACTCTTTACAGTTTCTTCTGGTCAGTTATGAATTAGATATCCGCGTTAGTGTTTCGCTTACTGTTAAATTTCATTTGCGGGTTCTCTAAAAAAGTGACTTGCGATTTTCTTGCTTTAACAACACAATGGAGAAATTCACAGAAATAGTTCGAGTCGGAAAATGACGTCATCGTCCACAATTTTGATGAGATAAAGTTTTCCAGGGTAGGGTTGTAAATAGGCTCACTTACAATTACGCTTACAGTTCATGTAAAGAACAAAATACGTAGTTTTTTGACCTTTCAATAATTATTAGTTACTCTTTTATAACCATTTCTGTTTTCAGTTTTCCCTATTCGTTTTAATGAAGAATTAATAATGAACCCTATCTATAGAGATTGCAGGTCTTAAAACTCGGTCAGAGGTATTCAAATTTAATATTAAGATCCCCCCCGGAGGGGTAAGGGGGGGGGAGAAAACAAATTGTTTGATCCTATGGTAAAAAATTAAAATATGTATTACCTGTTCTGTAAAGTTAAAAAGAGGAGGTAGTTCTCTACCATTTGGTAGTTTAGTTCCAACCTCCCGTAGCTCATCAAAGAAGGTGTGTGCACACGCCTAGATTAATAAATAGATGAAAGATATAGATAGATAATAAACAACTTTAATATACGATACTTAATAGGTCTTTAATAAGTTGTTGATATTTCTTCATGTAGATATAGATAATATATAGGTAAATGATCTATTTCTTCATATAGAAGGAAAATATATAGATAAATGATCTATTTCTTCATGTAGATATACATGAATAGATAATATATAAATAAATGATCTGTTGATGATTAACAGAGATTATTTTTCCAGTTTCCAGTAAATAGATTGATATTAGAATAGACAGTGAAAAGATAGATAGATAGGATAAATGAACGAGACAATATCAATGAATATTATTTTAACAAAAAAGGTCTAATAAGTGAAAAACAATGAATAACAATGATAACAATGAATGAGGATATAAACACGATGATTAACAATAATAACAATGAATGAGGATATAAATACAATAAATAACAATTGATTACGATGAATAGGGATATGAACACAATTAATAACAATAATTATAATGAATGAGGATATAAATACAATGATTACAATGAATGAGGATATAAATACAAAGAATAAAAATGATTACAATGAATGAGGATGCAAATACAATGAATATCAATGATTATAATGAATGAAGATATAAATACAATAAATATATATCAATGATTATAATGAAATGGAAATACAATGAATATCAAAGAATACAGTGAATGGGGATATACATACAATGAATAACAATGATTACAATGAATGAGGATTTAAATACAATGAAAAACAATGATTACAATGAATGAGGATATAAATACAATAAATAACAATGATTACAGTGAATGAGGATATAAATACTTTAAATAACAATGATTACAATGACTACAAAAACAGAGAATGGGAATACAATAAATATAAAATGTCTCCACCTGTAGAGGTGTAATCCTAGCAGAAGGAGTATACTCCAGTAGTCTGGAGACCAAGTCTATAGCTTCAGGACTAGTACGGGCACGGAAAACCTAGAAAGAATATGTGGTACTATATCTATGCATACAAATGTGTGATCTCTGTTTGATGTCTGATCATAACTCTGAACCCCGTGACTTATTTGCCTCAAATTTTGTTAAGGAACTCGGGAGAGCAACAGGAATGTTCTTAGTTTGGTTTTGAGATTATAAGTTGAGTGGGTCCACCATTATAGGGAAAAAAGGCTAAAATCGTAACTTACGACCAAATGCGGGTAAAGGGTGGAAATAACTACAGTAACCTGGGCAACTGTGGGTTTTCCATATATATATATATATAGACCTGACCCCCACCATTCATAAAATTCAAACTTATATTCAGTTAATCTTTGGTCGAGTTAAAGCAAGGTATCACATTTAAAATCTGTTTATTTGTTTTTGTTTATATATTGTTACTTTTATCTTTTAATTCTTTTAAATTTTAAATATTTATTATTCAAGTTTCATATTTTGTATGTTTTTTAGAATATGCCCTGAAGATGGTTAAATAAACAGAAAATTCGGCAAGAAGAGTTTTTGTTTCACGGATCTGGAAAAAATTTAAAATGTTATCTCAACTGACATGTTTTCCCGCCCTATTTTGTACTATTAACCCACAAAAATAGAACTGTTTTCTCTAAAAATTCATTTCCTTAATTCAGCGGAACAACCCTAAATTTTTTTTAAAGTTTAATGCAGTTTTATGTGGTCTTTCTATTCTTTTTATTTCCTGTTTTAATAAACATCCTCTAATCTAGAACAGTGTCACAATTGACATAATTTCTTGACTAATATTTTGGTTGGAACTTCTTTTACCTTCGGCCATGGATGTGCTTTGATCTGTGGGAACTTGAACTCCGTGTAGTTTGGATTCATTTCTTTGATCTGCTCCCTCGTGGGGGTACCCAGGACCTAGAAATAATTAATTTATCGATCAATCACAGCATTAGGGAGGTAGAATTTTTTGCTTCAACTGGATTTGTATGGAGCTTAAAAATTTGAACAACTTTGAGAACAAATTTTTGTTTGTAAAATAAATTTTTGTAGAATTTGAAGAAGAAATATATTTTATTCATTAAAATACATCGTTTATAATTTTATGTTCAAAGACGGATCTTTTAATACCAATAAATCATATTTCGACCAACACAAATTTCGCTTGCATTATTCACGTTTAATTTATGCAAAGAATTTAGTTAGATGGCAGTAATCTTTAACAGATCTTTGTTTGCTCTCTTATCTCAATATAATTCAAACAATGACCTTTATTATCTCTACTAGCTGATCTACTCCACAATATAACAATGATAAAGTATACCCCTGACCTTTATTATCTCTACTAGCTGATCTACTCCACTATATAACAATGATAAAGTATACCCCTGACCTTTATTATCTCTACTAGCTGATCTACTCCACTATATAACAATGATAAAGTATACCCATGACCTTTACTATCTCTACTAGCTGATCTACTCCACTATACAACAATGATAAAGTATACCACCTGACCATTATTATCTCTACTAGCTGATCTACTCCACTATATAACAATGATAAAGTATACCCATGACCTTTATTATCTCTACTAGCTGATCTACTCCACTATACAACAATGATAAAGTATACCACCTGACCATTATCATCTCTACTAGCTGATCTACTCCGCTATATAACAATGATAACGTATACCCCTGACCTTTATTATCTCTACTAGCTGATCTACTCCACTATATTACAATGATAAAGTATACCCCTGACCTTTGTTATCTCTACTAGCTGATCTACTCTACTATATAACAATGATAAAGTATACCTCTGACCTTTATTATCTCTACTAGCTGATCTACTCCACCATATAACAATGATAAAGTACACCCCTGACCTTTATTATCTTTACTAGCTGATCTACTCCACTTTATAATAATGATAAAGTATACCCCTGACCTTTATTATCTCTACTAGCTGATCTACTCCACTATATAACAATGATAAAGTATACCCCCTGACCTTTATTATCTCTACTAGCTGATCTACTCCACTATATAACAATGATAAAGTATACCCCCTGAACTTTATTATCTCTACTAGCTGATCTACTCTACTATATAACATGATAAAGTATACCCCCTGACCTTTATTATCTCTACTAGCTGATCTACTCCACTATCTCCAGGGAAGATAGGTTGACCCAGCATGAGTTCAGCAAACACACATCCTGCTGACCTGAACATACAAATATTTAAGGGATTGAAGTAGAAATTTTAAGTAGCATTTAATTTCATTTTACATCTGGTAAAATGATTTTAAGTAAAAAGTTAGATTAGTAAATGCTAAAAGAACATATTCGAAAAATTTCATTTCAGCATACTTCTAACATCATTTATATTAACAAGAACATTTACATTGACTTTTTGAAAACGTAAATAAGCCAAAAACCTGAAAAACATGAATTCCCAGAAGTAAAAATATAGAATTACCAAACATCAATGTTTGTTGTATAATCAGAACTTACCAAACATCAATGTGTGTTGTATAATCAGAACTTACCAAACCTCAATGTGTGTTGTATAATCAGAACTTACCAAACATCAATGTGTGTTGTATAATCAGAACTTACCAAACATCAATGTTTGTTGTATAATCAGTTGCTCCAAAAATGAGTTCAGGAGCCCGGTAATATCTGGAGCAGATGTAGGAAACATTAGGTTCTCCTCGAACTGAAAATAAGTTTGAATTATCTTTTTTTCGGAACTATATAACTACACCCCTTTTCCCTCGAAACTACACATCTATTCCCTCGAATCTACACCCCTTTTCCCTCGAAACTACACATCTATTCCCTCGAATCTACACCCCTTTTCTCTCGAAACTACACATCTATTCCCTCGAATCTACACCCCTTTTCCCTCGAAACTACACACCTATTCCCTCGAATCTACAGAGCGTCCCATATGATATTAGATTATCTCCAATCTTTAACACCAAAATAAAACCTTAATACTCGAAAAACTTATAATTTTCCGCAAGAAAATTCTTATCTAACCCTTATGTTATTTTTCAAAATGATTCATTCTAATGAAATTTTCTGATTAGTCCCGAAAATCGTAATTTAGACCCGTTCTCGGTCTAAAATGATGCGGGACACCCTGTACACCCCTTTTCCCTCGAAACTACACCCCTATTCCATTGAAACTACACCCCTATTCCCTCGAATCTACACCCCTATTCCATCGAATCTACACCCCTATTCCCTCGAAAACACACCCTATCCAATCGAAACTACAACCCTATCCCCTCGACACTACACCCCTATTCCATTGAAACTACACCCCTATTCCCTCGACACTACACCCCTATTCCATTGAAACTACACCCCTATTCCCTCGAATCTACACCCCTATTCCATTGAAACTACACCCCTATTCCCTCGAAAACACACCCCTATTCCCTCGAAACTAAACCCATATCCCCTCGAATCTACACCCCTATTCCCTCGAAACTACACCCCTATTCCCTCGAAACAACACCCCTATTCCCTCGAATTTACACCCCTATTCCCTCGAAAACACACCCCTATCCCCTCGACACTACACCCTTTTCCCCTGAAAACTACACACCTATTCCTCGAAACTATACACCTATTCCTCGAAACTATACACCTATTCCCTCGAAACTTTACCCCTATTCCTGGAAACAACACCCCTATTCCTCAATCCCTACATCCCTATTTCTCAGAAGGAGGGAGGTTTCCCTATATATGGATAATGAATAACTTACCCAAGTGCTTAGCACTCCCAAAATCGCAAAGTTTAAGAATCCCACTCTCAGGATCCAGAAGTAAGTTCTGGGGTTTGATATCCCTAAACAATATTCAGTCTAAATCTTATCTCTCTAAATTAACTGTAGACATGATAATAATTTACCATCGACTTATTGGCATGTTCAATTCACAATGGTACCCTTGAAAGCTTTATATAATAGAGAATGAATGAGATATCCATATTTTAAACTTCAAAAATTGATTATTTTCAATTTTCATTTTATTTATATCATACATCTTCTGAAAACTTGGGGCTTTAATTTCTCATTTAATTCTTGTAGATTTTTGCAACAGTAATAATGAAAGATAGTCAAAATTTATCATTTATAAAGTTTAAAAAATGACAATATCTTAATTTATATATTTTATCATATCAGGGGCACTGGTGAGAATCGAAAATGCCCCTCCAAACCTGGAGGCTTACTTAAAAATGACAACGATATTTTCTCTTTAAATATTTATCTACACCGCTGAACTATAATTTTTACGCAGAGCTTAGGATCCATTTTGATGCGGATACAGATCCTGGATCCGCACTGGGAAAAAAATGGATCCGGATCCAGGACATGAAAATTTCTTCTTAGTTTACTCATTTTCGGAACAGAAAAAGAATTTTAAACATTTTTTTCAGTTTTTGTTGATATTTTAACTCTTGTTTGCAGGCTGACCCGAATCAAAAGTAGCCAAATACTAAATTCGATATTTTGATAGATTCAAGTTCTTAAAAGTTAAATTCAAATCACGAGATAATGAGTGTTGATATTAAAATAAAACTCATAATTTTGCAAATATTATTTTAAACACAATCTTAATATTGTATGTTCAGTGTTGATATTAAAATAAAACTCATAATTTTACAAATATTATTTTAAACACAATCTTAATATTGTATGTTCAGTGTTGATATTAAAATAAAACTCATAATTTTACAAATATTATTTTNCCCCCCCCGAGGCAAAGTCTTTCGAGAAAAAAATCACATAATAAACTTTGCTTTTTTACACCATATTTTTTACAGTATTCATGTAAGCTAGCTAAGTTTTCGACACGTTAGAGCATAAATACTTGATAATTTAGAACAAACTCCTTTTTGTTTAATATTAAAATACTTTTAAACTCATGACTCTGCATAAATATCCAATTTATTTAACACGCAAAAACATGATGATAGTTTTTAAGAAATATTACTTGGAAAACATATTTTAAAAGATCATAAATAATCCCAGCATTCAGTCCTACGACTTTATGTAAAAGAATTCTAATATATAAATATATATATCCATAGACACAGTGTTTCGTCCTATTATGTCGTAATCTCTGTTTGTTTATGTGCATGTCCGAACCTAAAGCATTAACCCTTGGACAAATTTCTCTAAAATTTTGAATAGAAAACTCGGAAGGAACCACTGAAATGTTCTTTGTTTGGTTTAAACTTTTTCATCCGAGTTGTTTTTTTTAGAGAAAGTTCATGCTAGTGTAAAATAATATGAAATGTATGATGTACCAAAACATTTTTGTAAGTTATATTAAAATCATAGCGTCACATTTTAAACAAAAGCAAAATCTAATTTTAAACATTTTTCTCTCAACGATATAATATATGAATTATGTATTACTGTGTCTGATTGAAATATATCCTCAAAAGTAAAAAAACCTAATTAAAAAATCAAAAAGTTAAAATATTAAAAATGTTTAAATTAATTATTTGTGAAACACAGTTTGAGTCTGAAGAATCAAGATAACAAGGTTTGCACAGAAATATCAAATTTTATTGATCAAATATTATTTCCATAAAAATTGCAAAACTAAAAGATAAATATCAATTTCTTGGCTAATTAGCTATAATTAGAATTTCATCTTTTAATAATTCTGAATTCTAATAATTAAACTTTTTCTTGGTATTCTTGGTAGCTAATTAACTTTTTTTTAGCTTCGTTATTTTCTAAGCCCCTCAAAAATCATCCCCGCGACCTTCCCTTACTACTTTTACTACAGTTAAACCCAGAGATATTGAAAGAATGTAAAATGTCGTTTTTTAAACTTTCTAATAATGGAATGCTGCAGATATTTAGTTCTAATAATTATATTGATCTCTTTAAAATTATTCACGAATAAATTTTAAGGCTGTTTATTTATTTTTAAGATTAAAGAGATTTAGATAAAATTAGTATAAAACTCGTAGAAAAATTGTAAAGATGACATTTTAAAATGTTTTTCTGTTTCTCCGAAGTTCTTGGTGAAACAGTAGTATTTTAGTAGTTGATCTAAAAAATAAATGATACGGGAAGTTAGCAGAAAATCAAAATATAAGGATGCCAACAATTACGATATTTTTTGCTCGATCCGGATCCAGCCGTTTTAGGATCCGGATCCAGTCGTTTTAGGATCCGGATCCAAAGCAATCATTTTAGGAACCGAATCCAGGTCTTGATTTGTTTACTAATGCTTACTAACCTATGGCAGATTCCGTTTGAATGAATGTAAGCCAAAGAGCGGAACAGCTGATACATGTACAGCTTGATAAACGTCACTGGGATCGTCTAAAACATTGAATGATAATGATAATGACGATATGGATAAAATTGTCAAAATTCGAATTAAAAAAATATAAAATTTAAGACAATTTGGTCCAGCCGTTTGTCCAGCTATGCGAAGATATTTATTAGACTGTAAATATTTTCAAAGATGATAATACCAATGATAATAATAATGATAACAATGATATTAATAATTAACTTCATTTTTTAGGTTTTCTACATTTCAGGACTTTTTGGAGATTATATTTTATACTGATGGGTTGGGAGGGGGGGGGGGGGGGCTTAACACACTTTAGTGAGGGGAAAATTATATTTAAATAGTAAGAGGTAAATTATAAATGTTGTTATTCAAGTTTAAGATAAAGAACAAGATTCAACAATTGGTTCCAACTTTTAATGATAAATTAATGATTTATCACGAAGTCTAAGAGTGAAGTCAGTCATTAAAACCCTGGCGTCGTGAAGAATTTGGACTTGATATGGATAGTTGCTTATTCTCCCTTTTCTAGTTGATTCGAACTTGGGTTTATAAGGGACTGTGAGCGTAATTTCAAGAGACCCTCCCCTCCATTCAGATAGCAATGCAGATTTACAACCGAACCGCTAAAAGAACTGGCTGATCTAGTATAAATTAAAATCAAGTTTATAATTTTGAAAACTAATTATTTTTTTCTTTAGAAAGTGATTTGAACATTTCTAATGCAGGCTCACACATCGACATCATCTGAATTAATTACATTCAAACCCAGACAAAACGACAATATCTTCCGTATAATTGAGCAGTGGCCGAATTTAAAGAATTTGAGCAGTGGCTAAAATTTAAACCGCGGCTTAAATATGGTTGGTTCCACTTAAAATTGTATCAAATGTTTCAAGATTTAAGCCGGCGCTAAATTTAAACCGGGTTTTGGCGGATTTAAACCGCGGCTAAAATTCTTTAAATTCCATCTCAGATAAAGTCGGAAGGGTACAATTGTGAATCGATGTCGGGAATTACCAGGTTTGCATGAAGGGTCACTTGAAAAAACGCTCACAGTCCCTTTAAAAGAAATCTTTGTTGTTGTGTCCGGAATCCCTACGTGTTCCCGGGGCAAATGAATTTATTTTCAATTTATCCTAGGCCTGGGATTACCGAGTACATCTCAGATATCAATTCAAATATTCCTGAAATATCAGATCCTCCCAATTAAATATTTAAACCTGAGAAATACAGCCTGACATTTAGATATATTGACATTTCAACAGGGGTGTATATTTTTCACAATTTTTTCTTCGGGAAGAAAAAATTAGACATCGCAATTTATTTATTTCTTTTTGATACTTTTTCCTAAATTTTTTTTTATTTTCCCTTGGCATCATTTATTTTCTAAAATTCAGCGAATAAAACCCTAATAAACGCAAGCATATATACTTTCAAGAAAAAAATTATGAGGGTGGAGGAGAATACTTTCTTTTAAACATATACCCCTGAATTTTAAATTCCCAGGCTGGATTCAGTAAATATGACGGACTTTACTTTTCCTTTTTTGTTGGAAACTGTTTTTCTTAAAAATTTTTTTTTGCTCTGAATTCATTTTTTGTTTTTGTTTTAAGGGAAGGGGGGGGGGATGGGATGAAATCTCCAAAAATATGATCCTAACTACTTTTATTATTTCGACGTGTTATAGGATACGATAAAATACAGAATTTTTTAAAGGAAAGTAATAAATACAAAAGATGACAGCTTTAAATCTCCGAAATTAGTCGCACACAAAAAAACTTCATTTTCTTAAATAACGTTCTGCAAACCTGTTTTTGTTTACTGTACTGCCTCGCCACCTTGTACACGGTCTCAGGGATGAACTCCAGTACAAGGTTCAAGTAAATCTCGTCCTTAAAAAATAAATATACAGTGGTAGGCGATTATATCAATACAATGAAGACGACTTTTTTCAATTTTGATTTTAATTGAACTGTTAAATAGATTACTTGAAAACCTGATATTTCAAAAAAAAGAGCTGTTAACATATATTATATTGATATAATCGCCTACTAATGCATCATCATTGCTGTATATTATGGATGATAATTCGGAAAAATAAAAGAAAAAATGGATATTAGTGCAGTAGGCAAGTTGTTATTAGTTTCTAGATCGATTTTTAACATTTAATAAAACTTTTTTTAGTTTAATTGGATTTTGTCAAAAACAAAAAACTCTAAAAACGATCGTAAAAGAAAAGTTAAGCAGAAAACGAACATAAAATGAACAAGCTTTTTGGACGTGACTACTGCAACTGGCAAGATTTTAAGATACTGAATTACTAAAAATCTAAAAAACCATTTATTTTTCTGATAGCTGTAACTTAAAGCCCCCAGGGGAAACTGGAAAATATTTTAACAATGACAAAAATAATAAAAGGGAAGAGGAATTAAATACTTTTCAAAATGAACAATTTGAAATTTGATTTTCTGCAAAAATGAATTATTCCATTTCATTTTGGTTGCAAAGAAGGATGGTAATCTTGTAACTTAGATAAATGACCCTTTAAATGCCGTCACTTACATTACGTTAACAGTCCCTTTAATCAATGATCCCTATACCTTTTTCTCTCCGCTAGTGTAGAAGAAGTAAAGAAGTTTGACAATGTTGCAGTGATCTAAACGTCGCATGATTTGAAGCTCACGATTTTTAAACCTGGAACAAACAGGAGGAGATTAGATAAGTTTATGTATAACTATAGCTATAGTGCCCACTAAAAAATAGAAGTTTTAATAAAGAACTCGAATTTTGAAGAAAAAAATGATTTTTTAAGCCTATATTACAACCCATTGGTTTCCTTAGAAAATTTTAATACTTTCGATCCAGCCGTTTGGCCAGCTATAGCTAACATATTTACATATATGAGCGAAGACCTTTATTATATAGATTAATCATAACTAGTCCACTTTTTCGTAAATCAAAGATAATAATTTTATTCCTTCTGGAAATCTCTAAAAATTCGATAAAAAATCGCGCAAAAAAAGAGAGTATTTTTTACGGGAATAACTGTATGATAGTTTTTAGAGAGAAGAATTCAAAAGAGAGCAAAATTTATTAGTATGGGGAACAAAATTAGTGGTTTATATTACTGAACGTAAATTTAATTTTTTTTTTTATAAATTTAGAGGTTATCCATACATGATGAAAATTTATTATGAAGACTAAAATATTATTAAAGATAACTACGTTGAAACCCAGCTTTGTTTGGAAACAAGGTTTTCTTTTTAAGAATCAACCTATTCGATTTAGACCTTTAAAACCAAGCCACAGTTCTACAGACTTCCCTGAACAAATTTTAAGGCAAATCTGTTCAGGGATCCCGATTATGATCGGAAATTCAAATAAACAGAGATTACTACTTTATATATATAGATAGCACATTGTGATCAGCGGAGTTTTGTCTTCAGCTTTGAATGGAAACTTTATAAAAACTAAATCGTTTGACAAAACAACTAAGAATAATTTTAAATAAAATTATTATAGCTCAGTGCTATTTAATTTGATTTATTTTCCCCTGATAATTTTGTCTTTCGCTTCGCGCAAGCGTATCTAACATCTGACCAGAGGGGGAGGGATGAAATTATTTTTAATAAAAAAATACCCCATTCAATTAATAATTACCTCTTATCCTGAAGAACTTTCTTAATAGCGACCATCTCCCCACTCTCACACAGCTTGGCTTGATACACAACTCCAAAACTTCCATTTCCAATAACCTAGAATACATTCAATGTAAGCTGGGGATATTGAGACCAAAGCTTGATCTGGCTCTATTGTTAAATCTGCAGATTAATTAAATCTTTAAGTCCCACATGGTAATCGTACCCTCAGGGGTTGTAGGGAGGAAAAGCTAAAATGAAGATATCGAAAGGTTTTTAAAAAGATTTTCAAATTGCCAACAATGGATATCGAGATCAAGCGATTAGTTTCTTTATATTTCAACATAAGGATCCTGATTCTACCAACAAAAATTTACAACATGTATCCGGATCCGCATCAAATTGAAATGGTTCGGATTTTTACGTGTGGGGGGGGGGGGTCATTAATAAAACTTTAAATCGTTGAAAAATAATTGTAGCTCAAGTCATTTCTAATTGAAGGTGTATTTTTTTCAGAATTAACCCTCCACAGTCTATACCCTAGAGGGCAAAAATGATTTTGATGATTAGGGGAAAAATATTAAGAATTTGACATCAATTAGCAAATTTTTAAATTCTTTATGATACTTTTTTCCTAAACATTCATTTATTTACCCGCAACTCGGCGAATAAAACTCCCAAATAAAAATTTTACTTCTTGGTGAAAAAATGATTTTAAAGGAGGGAGGGGGGGGGAGTCGAATGATTTTTCGAGAAAATATATACCCCCGTCTAAATTTAAATTAAAAGTAACACACATATGTATATGCGTGATGGTGTGATGTAATCGCAAATAATAAAACAAATGTTTTCTGTATCACTGACATTTAGAACAATCATTCAAATTATTAATGCGGAGAGAAAAACTTTTGATGGATAAAAAATGTTTTCAGAAGGTCTGCAAACGTAATTTCAAATGACAACGCATGCAAAGATGGCAACCAAAATTGAAAATAACAAGGATTTCAATTATAAACCTGGGGATCTATTTCAAACTTAATCAGACAAAACTTGCCATCTTTGCATGAGATGTCACTGAATTGTTTAAAACTTAACCGAAATTTTTTTGTACTTCTGTAGTAAATTTATTGTTTTTTCTAATCCGATGAATCAGAATTAAATATACAAATAATTGTCAGGATTAAACAATAAACAATAACATCAACGAGAGGAGTGAAATAATTGTAAACACAGAAGGCTAATACACGAGTGAACGAACAGATAATGATTTGAATGAATTTCAGGATAAACGACTAACGGACAGAACGAAGGAACGAACGAACAACGGCGCAAACAAACGAGACAACAAAAGAAGAAACGAACGAACAACGGCACAAACAAACGAGACAACAAAAGAAGAAACGAACGAACAACGGCACAAACAAATGAGACAACAAAAGAAGAAACGAACGAACAACGGCACAAACAAACGAGACAACAAAAGAAGAAACGAACGAACAACTGCACAAAAAAAACGAGACAACAAAAGAAGACACGAACGAACAACGGCACAAACAAACTAGACAACAAAAGAAGAAACGAACGAACAACGGCACAAACAAACGAGACAACAAAAGAAGAAACGAACGAACAACGGCACAAACAAACGAGACAACAAAAGAAGAAACGAACGAACAACGGCACAATCAAACGAGACAACAAAAGAAGAAACGAACGAACAACGACACAAACAAACGAGACAACAAAAGAAGGAAGGAACGAACAACGGCACAAACAAACGAGACAACAAAAGAAGGAACGAACGAACAACGGCACAAACAAACGAGACAACAAAAGAAGGAAGGAACGAACAACGGCACAAACAAACAAGACAACAAAAGAACGAACGAACGAAACAACCAACAAACAGAGCAACAATTACGAAACAAATAAACAAACAAACAAACAAAAGAAGGTCCGAAAAAACAACACGAAATAACATAAGATCGAAGGAACGAAACAAACGAACGAAGGAACAAGCCAGGAACGAACTATTACCTTAGTATCGGTGTAGGACACCTCTGTGGATCTATCAGGACCCTGGCCCGGACTAGCAATTACCGTCATCACCTAATTATCATACATCATTAGACGGAGAACTTTATTTATTAAATATATTTTCAACATTTCTCTCCAGATTTATAATTAATAAAATTTAATCTTCTACACCCCCCCCCCTTTCTTAATCATAGCTATGTGATCTAAAAGCAATTTCAGTACCATATAAATCATCACACATCATTAGACGGAGAACATTATTGATCACTTTTTTCAACATGATACTCCAGATTTAGAGTTAATACACAGAAAAATGGGATTTCGTATACGATTTTATTCCTTATTGATCATCATACTATTTTAAAATACGAAAAAAAATGCAAATCCGCAAAATTATGTAATCTTGTTTAATCGAAGAGAAAATGCTTTGCGATTGAGAGACAATTAAAAGACTAAATATAAAGATTGGCGCAAAGTGCTCTGATAGCCTAGTGCATTACAAATCACAACCTAACATATTTACAAAGATTATGATTTAAAAATCTATACACAATATATACAATTATACTAATATGAAGTAAACTGACTTGAAAATTAATTATTGGTCTATAAATGGGAAGAGGTCCCTGGCTACGTACCTTGCTACCATCTTTGCTTGAGATCTTCATGCCTCCAAAACTTTGTGACCCAGACTTCTGAGACTCAACAAATGATGTTGTGCGGGGTCTACTACTACTCATACTAAACAACAAAAAAACGTAAACAAATTGTCAAAATTTTTTTTATAAAACTTGATTCTTTTAGATTTAAACCACGAAATTCACAAAATATTAAATAATATGTAGAGATGAGCAATTAAGGGTTTTATGGAGGAACTGAAACTCTACAAACCATGGTATGTCAGGGGTGAATATTACCTCGAAAAATCAAATTTCCAACTATTTTAGAGAAAAAAAAATTTCCCATAAGTTATATTGCTTTTTAAAGGATTATATTCTCACTGAACTAGAAAAATAAATGATTTTGGGAAGGGGGGGGGGACAACAAGTTTTAAGGTTAAAAGTATCAAAAGAGTGGAAAGTTGCCTTAATTCTTGGAATACTTTTCATGTTTGAAAAACTGGTGTAGTGAACCATTATTTACTCGAGTAAGACTAAATCGAGCAGTCCTTGAATAATTCAAGTCTTTTCAGGGTAACCCTGTACAATGTACAAAATACCGTCAAAACTAGAAATTTTAAATATCAATGGTCGGTCAGAACATTTAAGGTGCTCGCATTTAGATGCACATAGAAATAAACGTTAATCATTCAATCAATGGTCAGAGTAACAATAATCCCTAGTACAGTTGTGACGTCAAAATAACGGCCACCGTAACCCTATTCTCAAATAACAAAATACACCTTAAACCATAGTAATCCATTTCATCAAAACTGAAAAATTAAAGGAAAGGGGGGGGGGAAGAATACGGTAGTCGGAAAAAAGTTACAACATCAACAATAAATAGAGGACACATAACACTAAGCTTGCAGGCTTAACAGAAATATCGCATAGCGATAACAAACAAATATTTAAATTCACTAATTACGGGTTTGTTAAGAATTTGAGAAGAGTGTACGAAAACGTATTTAACAGATGTATTTAAGATTTGACAAGTTGTCAATTAGACATGCACAAATTGTCAGCGACATCACTTAAATCAAACGGCACTGACTCAATTATAAAAACTGTTTTCCCTTAAACTAAATATTTAAATCTCCGTGGTTTAATAAAAAGTTCAACTATACCTCCTGCTGGAGTAGTTCCATCGAAAACTGTTAAACTCGGAGCAAAATTTCTTCTCATCAATTCACCACTTTAATTCTTAATTTATTGTCAACAAAAATACAATTTGCAATCGTATAACAACGATTTGTCAACCGTAGAATATGTTCAATTTTATATTTTACTGCGCAACTTAGACCACCGCCATTTTGATTACAGCTGTTGTGCCACTAGTGACTAGAATCAGTTTTTAGTCTGGGCATGCGCAGTCAAACTAGCAGAAAATGAGCCCTTGAAAAATAACAATTTTTTCTTTAAACATAAAAAATATTTTTAATAGAATTTGATGATAATATTTTTTAAATCTTTCTGATTTTGATAGGAATAATTTATCAAAATATTTAAATAAAAATATTTTTTGTTATCGGGGCCCAATTCAAAGTTTTCGAGTCCAAAGTGTGGAATATTGACGGATTTTCAGCCTCCGTCCTTTCTCTTCAATGAAATGTCGTCTTCATCCAAAAATGCATACTTAATGATAAGGAATTAAATGAATGAAATTTCCCCGCAGGATTTAATTCAATATCTAATTAGTTGCAAAGATATTTTTGTTGTTTTGTTCTTCATGAAATTCAAAAATCTATGGCGTTTACAATGATAAAATCAGGGAGGCATACATTTTTTCGCCTTGCCCCCCCCCCCTTGG